AAGATGACCCTCGTTGAACAACCGAGCTACCTCGTCCCTCAGCTACCTGCAGTCTTTGGTCCTATGGCCATGTGTGCCACGATACTTACACATCAAGATTGGATTCCTTTGAGAAGGATCGGTTTGTGTAGGCCTGGGCCACCTGGTGTCTTTGATTCTTCCAATAGCCGACACGATCCCCGATGCATCTACGCTGAAATTATACTCCGACAACCGAGGTGCTTCAGCGGCATCGGTATGTTTATCAAAACCGTTCTTACTCATAAGTCCCCGAGAGCTTTGACCTCGATCATTTCTTCGGTTGTTCCGAGGAGCTTTACGCCCTGAACCGTTGTTTCTCCGATCGACATATGGCTGATACCGTTCCTTGTTTGATCTTGGTTCCATGTCCGTATCCCTCGAGGACTTAACTGCCAATCTATTAGGATGAACTGAACCCGAGGGGGATCCCAACTGGTCGTCCTCGACCCTGATCTTTGACTGGTAACGATTATGTACGTCTGACCAAGTTACAGCTGGGTACTCGATCAGATTTTGCTTCAATTGTCGTGACGCGATCGAACTCCGCTCGTTCAAACCCTGCATAAAAGCTTGTACTGCCCAATCATCCGAGACTGGTGGTAATTCCATTCGCTCCTTTTGAAACCGGGATACGAACTCCCTTAGCATCTCATCGTTCCTCTGTCTTATTTTAAAAACGTCTGATTTCCTTGTCGCCACCTTTATGGCCTCGGCATGTGCTAACATAGCAAACGAATCGATAGAGTTCGGGGGCAAGTTGTGATACCAAATCATGACTCTCTTTGACAAAGTTTTTCCAAATTTTTTCTACAATACTGATTCGATCTCATCATTATTCAAGTCGTTTCTTTTAATCCCGCAAGTGTATGAGGTAATACGTTCATTAGGATCGGTTGTCCCGTTGTATTTAGGTATATCGGCATGCGAAACTTTTTAGGAATGGGCTTCAGAATCGCACTCGGAGGGAATGACTTTTGTATGAACTTTTTGGAATCCAAACCTTTCAAGACTGGGGGTGCCCCCGGTATTTGATCAACACGGGAGTTATAAGTCTCAACTTTTTTGTCATTATCCTCAATCTTCTTGTCCGCGGACTCGATTCTCTTGGTGAGTTCCTCGAGCATCCTCATAATCGTGGGATCATTCCCCGAGCCATTACCATTTGATCTTTCTGTATCGGCTCAGTACGTCGAGTGTTTTCTGGTTCGACTACACTTGGAGTTTTGTGCTGACTTTGAAGCTGAGCGATAGCAACCTGTTGAGCTTGTAGCATCTCGAATATTACTTGGAGGCAGACTCCCCCGTCTCCTATACCCTGTGTTCCTCGGCCACCAGATCGGGCTTCCCTGCGTACACTTCCTCCGGGGTCTGCACCTAAATCCGCATCCAAAGCAATGTGCGAACTAACATCGGCCGGTTCCCCATTTGGCACTTCCCCGGGGTTAATTGGTGGTACATCGGCTCTCAGAGCGATTACATTGTTATTTTCACCAAGAAATCCAAGACCTTCATCGCCGTGTACGGGTGCGTTTTGCGAGTTTGACATGTTTTATCCTGAGAACGAAAATTCTTGACAAGAACAAGTGTGAAAATAACATGTGTTATCGGAATCAGTACTGAAATAATCACTATTATCTTTAGCCCCACAGTGGGCGCCAAACTATTTACCTCGAAAATACGAGTAATAGTTAAACTTGATTTATGGTTTTAAAGATATGTGATTTAGTTCAATACTAATTAATAACCAAGAAATCTAACATGTAAATAAAAGAAATAAGTGAAATCAAACCAGTGAGTAGGCCAGTCTCGACCTCGAGCTAAGATGGCCTCGAGGTAGGTCAAGAACAACAAAGTAAGAATAAAGTTAAAGGACAATTCTGATGAACAATGAACGAGAAAGTAAGAGAATATATTCTTTTGCCAATGATTGATGATGCTTACAAATGATTGGGATCACCTTTATATAGTAGGGGAAACCCTAAATAATGTATATTTCTTTTTACAGTAAGGAATCTTATTGGGACAGCTGTCTAACCACCTAGTATGGATTCGTCTAGCTCGTACAAATCTATTCCTGAATTTTACGCCACGATCTTGGGAATGTGGCGGGAATCTTGCTCTTTCTGTTACAAAGCCACAACGGCATTATCTCGAGGCCGGTCGCGTTCGGCCCGTTGTTCATCAGTCACTTACATCTTCGAACTTCGAACTCTGCCATCGGCCTCGAACCCAGTGTACTTCGAATCGATTCTTGAAGTGGTTCCTCAAGCCCACTAAATCAAGCATACTTGATTTTGACCGTATACAATATTCTAGTTATAAATCTGAACGTATTCAGATATTACCAATAATTCAAGCTCTTTTTTCTCCTTTTTGTTTTCCTTAAGGTTCTTTAACTGTTCTATAAGGACCATATCTGACTAGCACTCTTTGACAAGTTTATCTTTGTTCATATATATATGAAATTTAGTGTCATATCATTAATCATTAAAATATTGAGCTTCTATTCAGTAGGAAGGTAGTATACTAGTTTTAAAAAGATATATTTAAAACTGATTATTATAATTAACTTACTAATCAAATTAGTACTTTTATTATGGAGTAATATGCTAAATACTAATCAAATTAGTACTTGAAACACGTAAGGCTTACTTCCTATGCAGCATTTCTTTGGTGTTTTGCCACTATGGAATATGTTAGCAAATAGCAATGTTTCAATTGCCTGCCATTGTAATTTCATCTTAGGCTGAAACCAATCTGTAAGAAAATGTATCTATTTAAATGCATGAATCACGACATATTATTTCTTTTTCAAAGAGAAAATGAGATAAACTCTAATCTTATGTATGACTCTGACCTTTTATTAATTTCTTTACTTTTATTAACTTCTATCTCACATTTGTCTGATCATTTCATTTGTCACAAGTATAAAAATATCATTGTTAGATGACGTTCCTTTTAGGAGTATTAATTAGAATCCTAAATAAGGTATAAAGTCAAAAAGAAAAAGACCAAAAAGATTCCACCTCTAACAAAAAACCAAAAGAACATCTATAATTTGAAACCTGTTAGTATAACTTAATAGAGAAAAAAAAAAAATCAAAAGTCGTAAATACTCTTTTTTTTTT